GTTTGGAAATGAGATCTTATCCTATATAAAAATCATTAAATAATAAAAAATAAAAGATTAAATTCTTTCTTATGATATACCAATTTTGTAGATTAATAATATTTATTGATTGTCGGATATTATCATCATTATAATATTGAAAAAGTTTCATACGATAGATTTGATCGAGTATACAAGCACTTTGATTTATTTGATTAGATTGTTGTATAAATCCAGTTTTCCGAAGAAATTTATTTATTTATTGAATAAATTATATTTTATTAATATGAGTTTCATACTGATTGTGAAACAGACATTAATCAATTTTTACACATACTTTTACGAAGATGTCTTTTAATTTGATTTAAAATATGTTGAAATACATCATGATTCTATATATTCTCCTGCTCAAAATAAAGTATACATCTTGTTTCTTTGATTATTTCTTTACAGTATTATGATTTCGTCCGATTGTTATATCACAGATACATATTCGACTACTCAACTTATTCTAAACGTTTCAGCCCTATATGACGAGAATTGGTGGACAAAACTTCTAATATGCTTTTTCATAAGAGCGTAATAAACAACTATATATACCAATCGTTGCTGATGAGTATTCATTTGGTGTTAAAAAAGTATGACTTGTAATATTGTAATTTAAAATAAATTAACAGTGGTGATAGAACAACTTTATTAATTAAACGTTTCGACATATACTACGAAGTCATTATCAATAACGAGTAACCAACGGATTACACCGAACAAAATATATTATGGTTATTTTGACTAATTATTTCGTTTATAAGTATGACTTATCCATACATCGTCAATCAACGTTGGTCCCTAGATGATATTGATGAAATAACGCATGAATTAATTCAATTATCATCAGTTTTACTTACCTGCATTGGCAAATAAGTATTTGATTGTTTTCATTTTCACATACTTTATGTTTGTCAAATAAAACAATATTTAATATCAGGTTTAGTTTTTCTTTCCTCGGCCTTTTTTTTCGTTTATGGCTTCTGGAAACAACGCTGAGCAAATAAATAAGGCTGAAGCCGGTCGACTTTCATTCAGAAAAGAAAAAATATTTTTTCTGTTACTAACGAGCGCTTAAAAGAAAAAATGCAGATGTGCTTTGCAGGGCTCGAAGCGGGCCAATTTTTGATGGCCCAGCCCGGCCCATACCGGGCCAAGAATAGTTCATGCCCGCCCGGCCCAACCTCTTCTATATTAGAGCCCAGCCCGGCCCGCCCGGCCCGGCCTGAATAACAATGGCACTATTATCATTATAGTTCTTTTATAAAGAAGGTTTTCACGTGACAGAACCCGATATCACTGGATTTAGAGATGGTTATTTCTCGTTGATTTATTTTAATTTTAAACTTGTTGAATTTTAAATGAAGTATAGATTTGAACGTTGAAGAGTTAAATAAATTTGTAAATTTGATTTATTTATATGAATTTCAATAAGTGAAATTTTAAATAAATTTAACTTTTTGGATGTCAGAACTTAAACTAATTTTAAATGTAAATTTACAAATTTACATTTAAAATAAATTTAAACTCTCGTACCTGAAAATTTAAATTTATTTTAGATTTAGATTTTTAAAAATTAATTTTTGGACTTATTAAGTTTTGATAAATGCAAAATTGATCATCCCTACACTGTTGTAATTTTTCAAATCATTATAATAACGTTACTTATGATCATGATGATCACGACTTGAATAAGGTTAGACAATTCTAAGTCTTCAAAAAAGCCTGGTAGATAAGTCGAATTACTTACTGAATCAATAGAGTAAGATGAATCCATCGACACTTCAACTTCTGGAATACTGCTATTTATTAGCACGAACCTCACAGAAGTGAAACACCAACTGGTCAAATTCAATGAGTCACATGGGTTGATATTTCTACTTTCTCTACTAATTTTAGTATACAGCTAAAACTGTTCCACTTAAATACTGTTTATGTGGCTTAATACAGTTAATAGTTCACTCCATTTTCTCTGTGAATGAGGTGTTATCATACTGAATAAATACTTTCTTTTCATTTATTGCCTAAATGAAATTTCCAAAGAGTTCGCATGGTGAAGCTTCTTGATCGTTAACAATCCTGAGATGTACCAACCCATGTAAAAAAATGTCAATGAAAAACTTAAATAAACCGATTATTTTTTTTTTTTGTTAAAAATCGATTAAAACGATGCCACTTAATTCTTACTGAAAATGAATTTTTCAACATGAAAAATAGATTTCATTTGATTGTACTATTTTAAATCGATTTTTAGTCGAATAATAAAGTCCTATTGATTGAAATTGGTTTTTAGAAACTGATCAAGAATGATTAAAATCAAATGATATCTATTCTTGAACCTGACAAATCAGATTCTGACTGGATCCAAATGGTGTCATTTTAATTGACACTTGTTCATAAAAAAATTAATTCTAATCTAATTTATCGATATTTTTTCTTACACAAGTCAGTATTAATTGATGTCTATCTTAACGCCTGCTATACGTGTCAAAGTCTAGGCTAGTGTGATAATCACGATCTGCTAAGCTAGGCAGTTCGAAAAAAACAGAGGTTCGAGTTCCTAACTTAAAACCCGAGAAAAACCTGTTTTACGACCACCACCATTTAAATCAAGTGAAAATTAACTAGTTACTCTAATTTTGATTAAATGATGACAATTCCACCTTAATCGATCTTTAGCTAGGAAGAAGTCGACTAGAATCATTTTTTTTGTCTTGTGTGAGAAATTTCCCTTGCAAAACAGAAATAAAGTTCGGGCCGGGCGGCCCGGAAGAATTTGAAGCCCGCCCGGCCCACCGGTCTTCGTTGAGGAGGCCCGCCCGGCCCGGAATAGAGACCTTCTCGGGCCGGGCCGAGCCGGGTCGGGTCACCGGGCCGGGTGGCCCGTTTCGAGCCCTGGTGCCTTGCACTATGGCTCATACAATAAATATTGTGTAAGTTGCCGTTTTATTCTGAGAAATCTGAAGGCTCGTGTTCGTCGTTTCCCAGTTCGAAACGGGCTTGTTTAAGTGAGAGCAAAAGTGTCGAGCATGGGTTTGTTGGTGTCTAGGTGTGAAATCTGGTTGTAGATTAGTGTACTGCAATTGAATTTTTGGACGATTGAGTATTTTTGAATCTTAGGTGTGCAGGAAAGTTGAAAGAATTTATTCGAGTGTGCATTTTATCTAGCTTCTCTGCTGCTACAAAACCGTGTATCATCACTGAAGTTGTCATGTAATCTGGCTGAGAAAGCCGCTTCATGATTGACCAATTGTGATCAATCATGATAGCCCCAATTAAGACGTTTGTAATGCTATTTCCTCAGTCAATATACATGAAAACGTTAAGCACGATGTATTATTTTATAGCGGTAGAAAAAGTAAACTAAAATGCACAATCGAAAAGGGCGTGGGTATGTGTGTCGGGTGCGGGTAGAGTTGAAGCCGGTCCGGCTGGACCGGACAGGACCGGATTTTTGCCAGTTCATCATTAAAAAATTGTTGCTTGTATCCAAGAACTTTCTCTACTGAAAAAGGTGTCTTTATGATATTTTCACATCAGAAGAATGTGTTTGCGAAAGACTTGATGAATAGTGTGTCATTCATCTGACTGTAAACAGTTTATGTTTTCTTAATATCTTTATTGATTCCTTTCTCGTGTACCGCATAGTTTAACCTAGATCATATAATTTGTTTTTTGTTATTCTACTTATACAGCTGCCAGAATCACGAAAACCAAATATTTCCACTGTTGTGCTAGATTTATTGTAAATTGGCTCTTTTTTCTTGAAATTAAGATGAAAAAAAAAACAGATTTGATCTGAGTAGCTAACTTATATAGATATAGGGCTCGAAAAGTTCACACACCTTGCTATAAAATATGATGGTAACAGTTTCATTCCCAAGTTTTACTTTCCCAGTTTCAATTAGGGATGGCGATCGCCTGTTAACTTATTTTAAATTTAAATTTTTGCGAAGTTAAATGTCAAATAAATAAAAATTTTTTTAGAGATGAAAATTTAAATTTATTTAAGCCTTTTAAATTTACTCAAATCCAGTTTAAATCAATCTAAATTCAATATACACTCATTTAATTGAATTTAAATCCAACGGAATGAATGTAAATTGAATTTTATTTGGTTTCAATTGAAGTTATATTGGTTTAAACTAGATTTAAATAAATTTGAAAAATTTAAATGTATATAAATCCAATTTAAATTGAAAATCAATTTAATGTTTTTAAATTTATTTTTCGATTTGTTCAAATTTTGGTAAATGTAAGCTGATTATTCCTAATTCGGATTTCTGCACATGAATATTCAATTATCCTTCACCACCATTATATTGTGAATAGATACTTTTATGGCCGATTATTTTCGCCGAATTTTTGCCAGTTTGGCTGTAAAATTTATTCGGTCGAACTGGATCGGACAGAAAAAAGCTGTTCGGTTCCAACTCTAGGTGCGGGTATGGGTTGTGGGTGTGAGTGTAGATTATTTCATCACCCACACTCACATCTTTAGATGAACAAGAAAGATTGATTGAACAATTACTATCCGAAATGTGGCTTTCTATATTTAAATATTTAGATACACAAAATATTCAACATTTAAAATTTGCTTTTCCCAATTTTTGTTTTCAATTATTGAAAATCTTTTGGCAAAGTCAAGAATTGAAAAATTTTGAACAAAACCGATTTAAAGAAAAAATTATTCCAGCAATCGATAGTCATTATGACAGTCAAACATTATTTTGTTTCTCGGATTCGAATTTTTGCTATCAAAACATTGATTAATGTAGTCATTTTGCTGCCGTCTATGCTTCCTTTCTATTAGGACATAAAAAAGATTCAACAACTTATACGGTTCACCATGATCCAAATACATATGAAGTATGTGAAGTGAAAATGGAAAAAATTTTGTCCGATGTATTTTATAATCGAAACTTTTATGGTTCTCTCTATCGATTTACATAAAAGATGAAAAAAAACGACAACCAATGATTGATTTCGATCATCGTGTTGATCGTACATATATGACAAATCGTCATCAATCACAATTTATTGGACAAGACCTTCTATCACGATTTCATCTTAAAATTAAAAGAATTTATGAATCAGATAATAAACAATCCGATTCGAACATTTATAATGATGATCGATATGACAAATGCAATGAATTAGATCTTTTCAGAAGTCAACGAAGACATGTTTTGGATGATTGGCAAGCAATAATACATTAGGTTATCGTGAACAATTATTGAAACAGATCAAACAAGCTTCGGGTACAAGTCTATGTCAAATGTTATCTGCAAAAAATCATGTAACGAGAAATCTTGGTCTTTGTCCAATAGATTCAGCTTCAAATCTAAATAAAATTCGAGATTTAATTGTTTCCTATAATCATCTTATATTCGATTTTAATACGCATCAATTGGTTGTTGAATGTTTATCAGACAAAAAGAAACTACATAGGTTGAACATTAATTCCGTTTCATACAAATGTGTTCAAACATTACAAAATTCAACTTCACAAGACAATCCAATTTTATTCTGTTGGGCTAATATTGAAATATTAGCTAAAACAACACAAGGTTTCAATCATGCATTATGCCAATATTCGTATTTACCAATAGAAATCGATCAATTTTTATTTCTTGATTATATATATTTATTGCATGTTGACTTAGCCATTTATCAAAACAACAATCATGTATTTGTTTTAGCAGTATATGGTGAAATTGCTGCTCTGTTATTGATAGAGAAGTTCTACTGATTTGTTTTTTTTTTTTGAAATTACAATTCACAAATGAGAAAATTAAAATCATTGGTTAAATGTAAGGTTTCAAAGTTATATTTCGAGAAATAGATCAGACTATTGTTTTAATCGATGATATAGTCCATAAACAGGTCTTATCGAGAGGGTGTGGGTGTAAAACAGGAAGACACCCACTCACACCGATCAATATCGTTCCAAGAAATTTACATCATAAAAAAAGGAAGAAAATTAAATGTATTCTGATTCGATCATTATTTCACCGAAAACCAAAACGATGCCTTTTTTCAAGTTTTCTTAAATGTAAATAAATATATAGTGACTTCACCAGTTAATACCATTAACGACGATTACTAATAAACATCGATTTCAAACATATTACGTCATCATTAAAAGAACGAGCAAAAAAGATTGAGTCGGCCTATAAATACAGATGTTTGCGCCTCTCTTTTTTTTCACTCTGTTTTTTTTTTTATTCAAGTCTCATGGCTTCTAACGATGAATATGAAACTGTTCTGATTGACAATGACACAGATGCTCATTTATGTGCAAAGCTACTTGCAGAAGAATTTGCTTCAAACAATGCTCTGTCGATTTTAAATCAATCAACAGCCGAAGACATTTATAACGAATGGTCTTGGCCCTTATTGATCGATGTGCTTGATAAAAAATTATCGTTTCTTACACGACATAGTCGAACAAATGAAATCGCTGCGACAATTATAGCCCATGATCTATTTACATACTGTGAAAAGAATCCATTTGATGCAACTAGTCCTCCACCCTATGATCCAGCCGTTGATTTGCATGATGAAATGTTTCATCGATTTGTTCAACATGACTTCGAACAAGAATTAAAACCGAATATGGTTCTCTTTATTTCAGCTGTCGTAACACAATTCAAACATACAGGAAAAAAGCTAGCTGCTCAATTAAGTACTCATGCATGCAAGCATGCAAAGGATACAAAAGGATTTCGATATGCATTCGTACAAACATCTAGTGCAGCAACACGTCATATATATAGTAAAAAAATGAATGGAAAAGAAATAGCCATTGTTGATCCAGCAACTTGGATATGGAAGAGAAAAGATGATGACTTATCAAGACCATTCAAAGATTATAAAGGTGAACCAGTTGCCAATATCCTTGTTGATCTAAGCGAACTAAAATAATATCAACGAAAATCTGTTGGATTTTTCCATTAGATCGAATCTAGAATTTTTAATACAAAAAAAAATGAATTGATGTTAGAATACTAACAGAAAATGTTGTTATCTTTTGAATTGTTCTAATATATTTGAAAATATAAATATTAATGATATTGTGATTTATGGTCTTGTATTCTGTTAGTCTATCAATATGATTATTATCATAAATAGTGCTGTAGAGTGTAGGTAAGATCTATGACTGAGAATAAACAAGCACTCACACCCACACTCGATGAATACTATTGTACAAAATACTGAGTGATCAAGTTTTATAGAAAAAAACATCTCTGCCTCTTTTTGAGACGTCCCAAGCTCGAACGAATGAGCAAATGCAGAGAAAAGTGTAAAATACTAAGAGTACCCTCAAAAACTGACTTTTTGACCAAATACCAAAGGGGACATCACTTATATACTATATCATCTTTTCACAGAGAAGTCAAACAGAGCTAATATTTTGAATTTAGCTATGGTTTGACTCGATCTTTCATGTGAGATACCTAAATCAAAATTTTATCGGCAGCTGGCTTCTGGTAAAATTGGTTAGTGGTCTCACGAACTCTCTCTTAAGTATTGTTGTAAAAATAATGAGCAGCTGTTTTAGTCAACAAACGAAATATTTTACCAGTAATTCTTATGCAAGAAACGTTTTCGATCATCGTATGTATCGGTATTTGGATTGGACAATATGTATATTCTTTTCTGATAGGATCTTTTATCGAATAGTGACAGTAAATAGTCGCGAGAAGAAATGGAGAAAATATGAATGTTGAACATTTCAATCATGATGTTTAGTGTTAATCTATTTCAATAGAAGCAAGAAAGAAAGAAATAAAGGTTTTGAATGATAAATAAGTCTTCAAATATTCAATTTTTAAATGAATGTTTCTCTCTCAATTATAATCAAATATGCTTCCGTAATAATATCGTTTTTTTATACAGAAGGATTTTGTAAAATTAGTAATAGTCTCTAATTTAAACTAAGTTATCATCATCGTCACAAGCAGTATGACATGATATTTTTTTGTTTCATCATTAGCTAGACATATAATATATGTACAAGTATATGCAACAGTACATATAACATCTAATACACATATTTACATATTGACCTCTATGTATACATACGAAAGGAAAGGAAAGATGTAACACCATTTCAGAGCACAAAAATTTCATATCCGCCTGTTTCGATAAAGTTACTCACTATGCCTACACTCATTTGTTGTTCGTGATTTTAATAGCACCAATCGATTAGATTGTCATGCTTAATACAGAAGGTAACGATGTTGTTGTACATGATGACTACAGATTTCGTAATCACTTTAAGAGAATGAAAAAATTGATCGATAGTCATACACGTGTCAAGGCAAGAGAAGGAAGAAAGATGATTTTATTTGCATCATAAAAACATGCAGGAAAAAAAAGAGGAGCGCTGGGAGGAATCGAACCCCCGTCATGCCTATATGAGAGGAGAACAGTCTGTCAGCGGACCATTTCTAGTCATGAGTATGACAAACCTGCTGTTACATGCTTTACCATTAAGCTACGGCGCTCTGAATTTCAGTAGAAATTTTCTTCGTATTTATGTCATACAACCTAAAATAATCATGAAGTCAGACACCGCAATAATAATTTGATTGAAAGTATAGCAAGGCAGAATATTTTACAAAAGAATGAAGAAATCTATCGCGAATACATTGAAACCGCTAATAATTGCTTGTGAAAACAGCATAACAAAAAGAATGAATTATTCTAATCATATTCTTCAAAGATGAAATGTTTGAGACGCGGTTGGACAATGCTAGTCATTGATTCACTCTCAAAATCAATTATCTTGAAATTATTCTTAATTGAGGTAAACAACATTTGTCCTAGAGGAAAATCACTATGAACCCGAATGTGACATGATTGAAAAGAACGTAGTTCGAAGGTAGTGAGAAAATTCGACAAAAATCTTTTAGAATGTAAAACATTTTTCGCTAAAGATAATCGACAAGATTCTCGAGTGAACATTTCGAAACTAAAATTTATTTTCGAACACTTAAGTTTATAAAGACTCACATGCATTTTAGCTATTCGACGTTCGAAGAACGGAACTTTTTAAATTAGGATATTTTTGTGATGAAGCTTCATTCGTGAAACTAATGACCATCGACTAGTAATTGTATGATTTTGGAATAAATTTTTGCACAAACACCAAAGTTCAATTGAATAATATTGATTCGAACAAAAGCTAATATGAGAAAAAGTTGGAATATAACTTAAAAAATGGGTAAATTATTTAATAAATGTTCAATAAATTGGTTGAATCAATCGATAAAATATTGGATGATTGATTGAAATTGTTAATATTTTCGAAATGACTATATTTGTATTATTTAAAAATTAGTTCTATATCTCGACTAGATCTATGATGATCACTCGACGTTCAGTTCCAAACATGCCACAGCTTGGCAGACAAAATCATATTGTTATGATGTCTGCTTGGTCATTAACATAAGTTGGAGACATTCTATTAAGAGGCAAATATAGTGCATAATAACGAGAATTTCTCACAACGTGTGTCCTTCATGTATGTTATTGTAGTGTGTGAGTGTGGATATAGATATACTTGAAAAGAAAGCTAATCAATACCTTATATTATTCTTGTTTGAATATTTATCTGCATATAATAGCTATCATTTGCCAATATCGATGGTCATTTCTCAAAAGAACTACCTATATATCATGTTAAAAAGAAACGAACTGCTTCAAGTTGAAATGATAAATAATAAAGATGTTGCTTTTCTGTATTGATCAGTCATCATCAATTTGAAATATATAAATTTGAAAAAGCCTACCCAGTGGAAAATATTTCTAAAAATAACGAAAGAGAATACATTCATAAAAATATAGAGACTTGTCTTTTACGTGAAGAATGTGTTCTACAGCTTAGCGAACGTTTTCACAAACAAAAAGAAAAGTTTTGAGTCTAGAGGAACTCATTCTTTACTATTCCACACTAGTACGGAATGCTTTCTTCTCAGTTCAAAAATGGTTCTCTATTTGGATAGAAGCGTTCTGAACCGTTCTATGAGCCAATAGAACGTGTCTCTGCTCATTCTATTTCGAAACAGTCAAGATAGGATTCCATCGAAATGAGACCGCTTTCATCTGAATTTAACGCCACTTTTGATTCAAAAATGACAGCTCTGAAGTACGACACCCTGAAACTGGTACCAAAAGTGGTGGAACCTTCAATTAGTCATACTTTACAACTGACAGTCCTGCTTCCAAAAAAATTTTTTTTAATAACAGTTTGAGCTACGAAAAATTAGAGAACGCCATTGGATAGGGCTCGTGAAGTTGCACCAGAATCGATCTTTCAAAAAATTATGTCTGAACTTCTCTTCGAGAATTCTTATAGTAAATCTAAATTCAGGCAATAACGACCAAGAATGCATTCCAAAAAAAGTTATATTTTTTTTTGAAAAAAGAAAACGTTCCAAAAAAGCTGGAACAGTTAAGAACGCATTTCAAAAAACATGGAATGTGTTCTTAATGGTTCCATTTTGGAACGCTTTCCACCCGATGTCACAAAAACCGGATCAGTTTTAGCGGTAAACCGCGGTTCTCTCCGGTTAACCGCGGTGTTTCTATGTCAAGGAGCCGGTAACCGGACCGGTAAAACCGCCGTTCACCGCCGGTTTTCATCACATGGGACTTTTGTTGGAATGTCTTCTTTTCTTAAAAAAAGGGCTTTTAATTTTACGGAACGCGTTCTTTCCCGTTCTTTGAAGCAAATATTTGTCACTGAGTATATCACACTTTTTTGATCACTTATTTTCTATCAAGTTTTATATTAATTTTGTTCAATGAACTGTTAGTAATATTATATTATTTCAAAGTCTACAGTGTTCTCTAGCAAACATCCAAGGATGGTGATAAAACAATAAAAATGCGTTTCAGAAAAAAAGATGATCCCATAAACATCATTCTTCAGTCTGAATTTGACACCAAAAATCTATAATGAATTTAATATTCGACAACCATTCTTAATAGTTCAGTTAACGTTATTTCTAAAAAATCAAACAATAAAATTCTAAACTGAATCATTATATGAAATAAAAGAATATATTTCATTGGAATAAACAAGCAAATGAGAATCCATTTTTTGTGTAAATTAAAATTAGAAAAATCACAAAACATATCATAGTGATGAAGATATTTACAAATTTCATTTTAAGTACTCATTCATTTCGTTATTTTATAGAATCGACAAGTCATTATAAACTACTCTCTACATATGAAATATATTTTACAAAAAATAAAATAAATTCTATCGTCTATAAGTTTGATTGTATATTTCTGACAAAATTGTTCAAAATCAATTAAATTTTTCAATTTATCGATTATGTTCATATTTGTTTGTGAAATTTTAAGACAAAGTACAGATATATTTGTGATATAATTAGTATTTTTCATTAAAATAAATCGTACAACATATTCAGGACAGACACCATTTATACAATCTATCTGAAAATATTTCATATGAGGACAAAGATCAAGAGTAAATTGAACTTGTGCTAAATCACTTATTTACTTAAGATTAACTTTAATAATTTTGTTATTATTTGATAAGATACGAAATATTCTTGTTTCTTCAATAAATAAACATCTTGGTTGTATCATTACTAAAGATGATATTATTAATGAATCAAGATTAGGTAAACATTTTCTCATATTGATTAGTGTATCAATAAAAATTTCGTTAACTAGAATATTTAAACAAGTAATCGATGTCATAGATAAAATTGGACTAATTATATCAATACATGACCTATCATTATCAGTTTCATAGAGATCAGCAATGTTTAATATTATAGAAGAAACAACAAAATCATATTTCTCGGATATAATATTAAGTTCTGTAATATTTTGTTTTGATTTCATCAAAGATGTTTTCATTATTTTTCTTATCGTTTTGAAATTTGCCTTGAATTTTTCTAGAAAAAAAACAAAAAAAAAATTTATTTTCAATCAACCTGTATGGAAGAATAGAATAGATAATAATTTTATTATAGATATTTTCTGTATCAATAGAAATTGTAAAAAACCATTTCCGATTTCTCCAAAATAACAAATTGAATTCATTTAAGTTTTCATGATAAATAGTTGTTTCCAATTCTTCATATGTAAATTCAAATATATTTAAATGTAGTAAATATTGTAAAATAATTTGTTCCCATTGATTAACATCTAAATAAGTCACATCTCTAAAAGTATTAATATGTAATATTTGTAATTGAGATGATACTTTAGTGAGAAATATTGCTAGTTCATCAAAATCTATATAACATTTTCTAATAGAAATATAAGTTAAATTGTATATCATATTAAGGTTATTTTTGTTAATATTTTTCATTGATTCACCCAGTTGTTGACAAGTTAAATGACAAATTTGAGGTGTATATAAAAGTATAGTCATTAATTCATCGAGAGTACAACGATGATCAATAAAGAGATATTTAATACTACTAAATTGCTCATTAGTTCTTATTGATAAAGGAATGATAAGACGTTGATTAGACAGTGAGAGTTTATTATGTTTTAACATAGGTAGATTAAAAATTATTCGATAGATATTACTTATCTCTTTGAGATCATCATAGTAAAAAATAGATAATGAAAATAGACGAGACAAAGATATCAAACTTAAAAGAAGTTGAATGAGTTCATTTGATTTGATATTACCTAGTATTAATGATTCAAGTCGATTAAATGATGAATTAATATTAAATATGAATTATAATGATGAAAATTAATCAAAGTAAATGAAATAATTCGAATTTTGTTTTGAGCAACAATATAAGCAGAATAATATTGTAGAATAGCTTTTGAATAATAACGAAATTCAATTTTAAATTGAAGAGATGGACTTTGAAGTAATGTATGAAAATGAATATTAAGATTTGAAAATGCTTTATATAATTCACAACCATTAAGATACTCAAAAATTTCATAGAAAAGTTCATTTGATAAATTTTCAAAATAATTTTTTATTTTTCTATAAAAAGAAAAGAAATAAATCAAGTAAAAAATATCCTTCATTTTTCTTACTTATGATCACGTGTTTCTATATTTAATAATAAAAAAGGTAAATAATAACATATCATACTTAATGATATCATTATGTAAAACTTACCTCAAAATATTTTTGTCTTTTTTTTTAAGATTCACTATGAGATAGTCAACGTTTAAATTGAAACATATTTGTTTGAAAATTATAAAAATTTTATCTAAAAAAAAGTTCATAATTTTATAGAATTGAATAACTATTTTCAATTGTATATAATATCATTTTATATAGAAAAATAATAAACATGTGTTAGTGTATAATTTATGTTAAAGGTTTCAAAAATAATTTCATATGAGAAACATCAAAAAAAAAGAGAATTAATCTATTTCTTGCTTATTGTTATTTTGTTATGGATGAATCGATGAGGGTGTCGTTTTATTTCTGCTTTTTTTTCGATTCTTTTTATACTCACTATCTCGAATGACTCATTGTCAATGGTTTTTTCCCAACGGTAAAATCCTAGTATTGATTTTTTCGATATCTAGCAACAACAATGATATAATTGTTGTTGAATAAACATTTTCATATAGTTTAAAATAACAATTTGTTTATTTCGTATATTTAAATTTTTCAATTATTATGGATTAAAAACGATTTATTTATTGTATTGTATAGTCTAATATAGAATTATTATAATTAAAACCAAATTTCTCGTTTCAATGAGACAATTAAAATAAAACTTTAGTTTGCAAAGCGTTGCACTACCTCATAAAAATCGTATCTACAATTTGAAGAGTTTAGACAAGTTAGAAAATATCTAGTTGAGATAGGAAAAGAAAAGTTGGAATATTCTAGCCTTGATATATTATTACCATATAATCAGAGTATGAATGTCAGTGAGGCTATGGATATGGGTGTGTGTGTTGTACGTTAAGATGACACTAACAACCACACTAGCGTAGCCATCTCTTCCATGTTTTTGTGGAATAATTCGACTTATTAATGTTTTTTTTTCTTCACTATTGTGTATTTCCAGCTTTTTCATATGAGAAATTTAAGACAATACAATTTGTCAATATTAAGTTAGTTTTGTTATCAATTTCTCTACAGTCTATTATCTACTGTATGAAATCATTCTGCATTCTATTCTGATGAGCAATATTTAGCATGGAAAATTTCATTAGGATACGCCTAAGAAAATATTCATGTTCTTTATGCATTATTTATTATGTTTTGAAACTTTAAGAATAAATAAGTGTTATACAAAGAAGCGATAATTAATTTAAGGGTGTAGTTGTAATTGAAGAGAAGAAGTAGATCTGCATTCAAAAATTTTATACATTGTATGTACCACATAATCATCATCACAACTGAGCCTATTATTAAAGATCATCATTGGAGAAATACTGTAATATCCATATGAATGAGTATGATGAAAAGTCCATATAAATATATCAATGTGTGTGTGCATGGCAAGCTGCGACTCGAAGACTCTACCTTCTATCACATCCTCAAGTGATACACTTTATATTACGATGAAATTTAGATTTTCATTGAGCTGTTTCTCATGTTAACTTGGAGATATAGAGTATATCCCATATAAAAAAAAGACGGCAACAAACCTGATTTTAATCGATGTTTTTCGAAATAAAAATTGAATGAAATGGTATCAGATTTTTTAGTGGTTTTTTTTTAAATTAATTTTATTTACTATGACTATAAAACGCGATTTTCTCCAGTTTTAACTTAGAACCTACAATTTTTGATTATTTTTTCTCACTCCTTATATCAACAAATGATAAGTGTAGTACTCATCCTGTCTTTGATATACTCTCACATACAACACCAATTCATAATTACATGTGTAAACCAAAATGCTAATAAATCAGATTAATACTAAAGATATACTTTCTATAAAATGGACTTTTCATCTTCTCTGCTTTGATTTAATTCATTTTTTATTTTGATGAGTAATTTTTCTAGTTGATATACTTCATGTAAATAAATAATTCTATTTTGAATTGAATTATGAAATTTTCATTCTAGTTCTTCATATTGTATGTCTTAGTTTATTTCACTAGACTTTAAATGTAATTATGAGTTAAATTAATAAATTTTAATTGTTTAACAACAATATAGAATAACACTCATTACATCATCAATATCGATTTTTGAAAAGATTTCTTTTTTCAAACTAATACTTAATCAAATGTAGAAATATATTTTTGACGTAGTCTAGGTTATTTCTAACAACACATAGTTGTTATTTATAAGATCATACGCAAAGAAGATGAGTCATGTGTGCTTTTTGGGATTGAGGAAAAAGTAAAATGTTAATTAACGCGATGTACAGTTGTGATTTCATCATTTCCTTAATAGAAAAACTACAAATGAAATGACTTTAACCAATATTTCAACCATGAATTGAAGAAAACAACTATATGATTTTATTATAGTTTTGATAATTAGAGTGTGACAAAACTTCCTATTTTCCATATATAAATATCTCTCGAAAAAAAAAACAAAAATATATCAGACAAGTCAATATCGATATTAGAATTTCAGTCGATAAAATTTTTCCTAACAAACAATAACAAGTTATTCATTATTTTATAACTATCCATATGTAAATCATGATGGAAACTATCATGGATTTGTTTATTCACATATGATTCAATCATCGTATATGCAAGATATTCTTATAGTGTTGTTTTTAAACATTCTTAAAAAATATTTTTCTTTTGTTTTGTATATCTAGTTCGATATGATAGAAGTTTCTTGAATAGCATTTATAGTGATACAATACAAACTATTGGGACGGATTATAGAAATGTTCTCCATACGGCGGGTAGTATAGCGAAGTTTGGTGTGAGTACTGGTGTCAGTCTTGTTACAATTAGCCTTGCGATAGTATCTATTGTCTTAAATATATTGGGTCAAAATTAATATATATATATATAGTTTTGGTTATGATTTCAACTTATAATTTTAATATGAAACATTTCTCAATGAAGAACTTAACTTCTTCATTCATTTTAATATAAATTGATGAAAAAGGTAGTTTCTTTATCAATTTTTTAATATTATCATTTATATTACTATTTACAGTTTTATGGACAAATTTATTTTTGAATAGTCATTTTTTAATGTTGTTTTCTTTTTGTAACGATATCGTTTTCAAATATATATATATCTTTTTTTTTGTTGACAATTGATATGCCCTAATGAAAATCCTCATCAAGCGAGTAAAAATTGTCCACATGAGTAATCGAACTACTCATGCGAGTGTTCAAGCAATATTATGTGTATGAGTACTATTCACATACTTTGACGAGTAGACATACGAGTTTTTCTCTTACATAATGACTCATAGACGATCACGTAAGTATTTAGTGTAGTACTCATGTTCGTTTTTTTTTGCTGAATATTTATCAAAGAAGTGATATACTTTTGATTCAGATATGTTAATAGAGATTCGTTCGAATCTAATTTTCTAAGTTTAAATAAGATGATTGATATCAAAATGTCTATTTTGAGGTTTGTTGTGTAATAATCAACAATGTATGTTTATTTGTAATCAGACTTCTCTGTCTCATAGAATAGTATTTTCCATATATATATATGAAAAGATATTATTTAAAAAAGTACACAATAGATATAGAATTGTAGGACAAAAATGGTTGCTCAGGATAAAGACCTAGTGATCGTACAACTACCTAATCCCTTGTCAATTAGATATTTTAACACAAATAAATTTTCGTGTTTTTTTAATAGTCTAGGCATAAATAATATTTTCTTTTGTTTTATATTATATAAAAATCAAAAAATATTTCTCTTTCTTCTCTGACAATGAAAATTTCTCTAGCTTTTTCATTTATTTGCAAAAAATGTATCAAAAGAAAAGCGATAACTATGGTTATCATATTCATTATCTTCTCGAATAGACGTCTCTAGTTTTGGTTATTTAACTTTATATCTAAATAAAATAGACGTAATATAAAAGTGATGAGTAGAACATGGGCTTCTGAGTATTTTGCATAAATCACTATAGTAAACAAAAATATATAGACTTTGTCATGAAATATTGAGTGTCACACTGCAAATATTCAATTTCTGTTGTCAGGTTTTAGCACGAGTACTATTGACGAATACTCATGAGTATTCTATGAATACTCGTTTCTTGGATAATTTCGTTTTACTACGATGATTATTATGTTTACTGAATACTTTTTTTCTTAAATATGAATAGATTTGCTCGATAAAAACGAATCCATAAATGTAATGAAAATTGTAATCAAATTACTATTCACTGTATTTAGTACAAAAATCAGGGATTGAATTTGATTCAACCAATGGTGTGCTTCATCGATTAGAATTTATCAATTTGTTCTTAAAATTCTTCTCAGATTTGTGAAAGTAAAAAACTTATAAATATTGAAAAATTAAAAAATCAGTTCGATTTTCTGTTAATTTTTTTACTGCAATATAAACCATGTTGAATAATAATCGAGTTAATGCGTTTTCATTGATATTGTCAAATTTGAAAATATTCTTTTAACAAATTGATTGCTTATTTTAGTATAGCTTAATGACAAATGAAATATTTATTTCGTGTCGAATATTTATTGATAAATTAAGCTTTTATATATATAAATGATTGCATATATATTTCATTTACGAGAAAAATAAGCTAATCAGAATAAAGACTCACATAAAACTGCTGTGTTCTGTTTGCATTCGTCGTTCTGCTTTTTGCATTATTTGAAGAATGGCGTAATCTTGCGTAATTATATTTCTAAAAAAAATCTGGTCCCTATGAGGATCGAACTCATGACCTCCGCGTTATTAGCACGGCGCTCTAACCGGCTGAGCTAAGGGACCGATATATTTTACTACTAAAAATAATTGATTGATAATCCCTGTGACCTTGACATTCAACGTTTTACGAAACTGAAAATGAATATTGATCATATTTAGTTTTGAACTCGAATTTTAATTTAGAATAAGTAGAAGTTACACTATACACTCTTGTCTGGTCATTTATTTATAATTACCACTAGATGAATTTGTTACGGTGTATTATTGAACATTCTACATACTATTCTCATTGTA